GTGATACAGCACGTCAACAGCACAAATGAATCTCTTTATATAAACCGAGTTGGTGAATTGACCTGTGAGTATATTTGGGGGTCACCTCGGTAGCCCCTATTTTGTCTCTGGGAGCCCCGGTGCCAACCAATCGATGACGTATAACAGTGGTAGAGGATGCAAGGGATGAACCGGCCGGGGTGGGGGGTGTAAGGGGGGTGGCCGCCGTCCAGTCACATGTGAGATGGAGCAGGTGTAGGATCCGGCATCCCATTTCCCCTTCCAGCTCGATGACTTTGCAGCATTCTGATTGGTTGCTACAATAACCAATACGGAGCAGAGGAGGCAAGAGATGGTGTAAATAGAAATGTGGATATACGATGTGAATGAAACATGCGATATAGGCAATAGCAGCCGTGGTGGACCTAAGTTGGTCGCTCCTGGACTTTGTTCCTTGGCTCATAAACACACTTTGCTGTGAGGGATTCTGGGAATCCGAGGTCCGTTATGTTCTTTGTTCCCCGATGGTGCTTTCCAGTTAAGTTCCTTCATTGAGAAGTGCCCCCCCTGCTGGGCGGTGGAGGCATGGTGCTTTGGTGTTAGGGTCGTTCCTGGCACTGCATGGCCATCTGTAGGCTCAGCTTCCTGGCAATCTCCCCAATCAAAGTCCAATATTCATCAAAGCTGATCTTGCCATCCTCATCCGCATCCAGCGACTGGATCAGCTTGTTGGAGGCTTCCTTGCTCTGTGTATTCTGAGGGGGGGTGGGAAAGAAAAACTTTTAGTGTCCTGCTATTGTATTGTTGAACTCTACGTAGGAGCTCTAGCCGAACTTAGTTACAGGAGTGTAGTCTAAGGTTGAACTAGAAAAGTTGCCTCCAATTCTGGATGTGGCCACTCCGGAACCCAATGCTACCCCCCCTTTCTAGATTTGCCTCCTCCAGAATCCACAGTTGCCCCCCATTTTAGATGCCCCCCCAGAACCCAAAGCTGCCTGTGCAGCACCGAAACCTGCCCCCTTTCTACATGTACAACCCCTCCAGAACCCAAAGCTGTTCCCCTATTCTAGATGTTCCCCCCATGGAGAAACGAAATCTCCCTCCCATGCTAGATTTTAATTCCCTCCAAGACTTTAACGCATACTGTTGACAGGGCTATTTGTTTGGTTGCAGGCTGGCTGGCAGGTGAAGCTGGGGAATTTCTGTGTTTTGTATTGTAGTCTAAGGTTACCAGATTTTCAAAATGAAATCCGTGGACACCCTACTGACCATGTCCATTTTAAACCACAACCGTAAGACCCCCCCCCTTTTGTAGCCACACCTACAAAATCACGCACTCCATTTGTAGCATGCCCTGAAATAATTGGTCATGGAAGAAGCAGACATTAAAGATGTAAAGAGAAAGTGCCCTGGGAAGTATAAGGAGTGAAATAATGTGGTGAACCATGTGTGCGGTCAAATTGTGCTAACAGTGAGAGTGGCTAAAGATGCATGGTTAAATAAACCCTGAGCCTACTCTAGTATGGGTCAAGACTGTGTAATGCAGAGTGCAGGGATCAGGAGTGTGTAACGCATGGACTTCAGGGATCAGGAGAGTATAACACACAAGAGTGCAGGGATCAGGAGTGTGTAACGCATGGACTTCAGGGATCAGGAGTGTGTAACACACAAGAGTGCAGGGATCAGGAGCGTGTAACGCATTGACTTCAGGGATCAGGAGAGTGTAACACACAAGAGTTGCGGGATCAGGAGTGTGTAACGCATGGACTTCAGGGATCAGGAGAGTATAACACACAAGAGTGCAGGGATCAGGAGTGTGTAACGCATGGACTTCAGGGATCAGGAGTGTGTAACACACAAGAGTGCAGGGATCAGGAGCGTGTAACGCATTGACTTCAGGGATCAGGAGAGTGTAACACACAAGAGTGCAGGGATCAGGAGTGTGTAACGCATTGACTTCAGGGATCAGGAGAGTATAACACACAAGAGTGCAGGGATCAGGAGTGTGTAACGCATTGACTTCAGGGATCAGGAGAGTGTAACACACAAGAGTGCAGGGATCAGGAGTGTGTAACGCATGGACTTCAGGGATCAGGAGAGTGTAACCCACAGAGTGCAGGGATCAGGAGTATGTAACGCATGGACTTCAGGGATCAGGAGAGTGTAACACACAGAGTGCAGGGATCAGGAGTGTGTAACGCATGGACTTCAGGGATCAGGAGAGTGTAAACACACAAGAGTGCAGAGATCAGGAGTGTGTAACACAGTAACACATGGACTTCAGGGGTCAAGTGCATGTAATACACAAAGTATGGGAGTCAGGAGTGTGTAACGCAGAAAACAGGGGTCAAGAGTGCATGGAGCAGTGAGCAGGAATCAAGAGAATGAAACATAAAGAGTGAAGGGGTCAGGAATAGGCAACACATGGAATACAGAGGTCAGGAGCAATTAATGCATGGATTACAGGGGTCATCAGTAGGTGATGCATGGAGTACAGGGGTCATCAGTAGGTAATTCATGGAGTACAAGGGGTCATCAGTAGGTAATGCATGGAGTACAGGGGTCATCAGTAGGTGATGCATGGAGTACAGGGGTCATCAGTAGGTGATGCATGGAGTACAGGGGTCATGAGTAAGTAATGCACGGAGTATATATATATCACCTCACCTCTGCCCCCCATTCTGTATATATCACCTAACCTCTGACCCCCCACTCTGTATATATCACCTCTGACCCCCTATTCTGTATATATCACCTCACCTCTGCCCCCCACTCTGTATATATCATCTCACCTCTGCCCCCCACTCTGTATATATCACCTCACCTCTGCCCCCCACTCTGTATATATCACCTCACCTCTGCCCCCTCACTGTATATATCAGAGATACACAGTTAGGGACGTTTCCGGGGACACCCATCTCCCTGGGATAGAGCTCTCAAAACAGGGACTGTCCCCGTGAAACTGGGACAACTAGTAGCCATTGTGTAGTCAGTGTACACGTCACAATCTGGCCATACAATCTCTGCACAATCAACTTTAGATCTACCAAACCTATGTAATAGGAGGACCTACCTATTCCATCCAACCAATCTGTACCCAATCACACAGGCCCTTGTACTACATAGCTGGTAGATCTAAAGGCGATTGGACAATCAGATTGTAACATGTGTGGTGAGCCTTAGATGGAGCAGGGGAAACATTGAAAACTCTGTCAGGATTTGGTTGCGGTCTGTGACTTTATTGGGGCGGATCACCCTTTACTTTCTGTTCCAGTGACACCAGGACAGGAAATGAAAGGAACAGGGGTCACCTGAGCAGAATGATACTGCCAATGAAGTAAATGTCCTCACTTCCTGTTTGAGTGACACCAGGACTGGAAATGAAAAGGAACAGGGTGCTGCAGGAAATGACTTGCCATACACACCCCGCCCACAGAAGCCATGACTTGACAAACAACAGCATCCGTGTACATCACAGCACAGAGGGTCAGGAAGGCCGTGTTGCTGCCCCAGTGACCCACCATCAATTGGTAAAGGCCGGCCCATATTCTCAGCCTAGTCATATACCCCCCATGGCCACCCGTTGTAAGAATGAAGCCCCTCTTACGGTCAGCACGTGCTGGAACTCCTGTGACACCATCTTGCGGAATTCCTTCTTGTTCATCTTGTCCTGTTTCCCCTTCTTCTCCGCGTACGTGTAGAAATTGCGCACCAGGATTTCAATGGCGGACTCCAGCTCACTGCAACTGGACGCCATGTCCGGCTGAGAGCAGGCTGCGGAGAGAGGGGGGGGGGTTAGAGAGAGACAAGTCAGTAAATTATAAAGATGAAGTTTAATCTGAATATATTCTGTCCTCCCTGGTCCCTCAATGCCCCCCTCCCCCCACGATCAACCTCTTGTGTCAGTGCTGTCCTCCCTTCCCGAGTCCTTTCCGACACAGCGGCTGCTCCTCAGGGATATGAAGGGTTAAAGCTCTGTACTTGCTTTAAACCGCCAAAGTCCAACCACCTAACTCTCTCCAGCGCGGTGTAGACCGCCGACACCTGACCGCATGATACGCAGACCTGACTTTATTTATTTTGTGTTTTATTTGTTTACTTTATTATTTTGTTTTCTTTTTTTGCTTTGTTCAGACAAGTCCCATGGGGCGGGGGAGAGATACAATAACACCCAAGAGGGGGAGGAGCTGCACGCCCACCCCTTGTCACCCGTCCATGGCCGATTGCAAGCTCTTCGCTCCCTCCCAGCCGTTTGTTACATTGTATCTCTCAGAATTCCGTCATTGCACTGCACTCCACCTCGGATCCACATACATAGCCGGGGGACACACGGGGGCACGTTTACACAGCAGCGGATCTGACATTCACCAAACATTCACTGCAGGTGAATCTTCCAGGCGCACGTGGTTGACATGACAGTGATTGATTCACCACCAGACAAAGTCCCATTCACTGCCCCTGTAGTTGGTGCTGTGAATCACAAACTATAGTCCTGATTTGAAATATGTTTTCCCCTTTGTTCCATCTCGGTGCTGCTGTTGTCCTGCGGCCTCTTTGCAGCCACTTCCCGTCTACATGCACCAGCGCCACGGATGGCATTTCTCAGGGCGGGGCTTCCTGATGGTGGCAACAGTGGACCGTGTCTGCGTAATTTGTGTCGAAACGGCCACTTGAGACAGGGTGACAACACAGGAGAACAATTGGGAGACCGACAGGGTGTTGTCACCTTATAATAGGAAGTGCCGGAACAAAGATCGCCGGGGATTATTTTACTGAATGTTTTATTATAGAGTCTGACTGTGGGGGGGACATTAGAGTGTAAGCTCCTCTGGTGACCGGCTCAGTGTTCTCTGTACATCACTGCAGTATGTCAGAGCTATATACATGTATAATAATAGTGTGTGACTGTGGGGGGACATTAGAGTGTAAGCTCTTCCGGTGCAAACACTTTGTACAACACTGCAGATCATGTCAGCGCTATACAGTCCCTTTACTAAACACACAATAATGAAGAGGCGGGGTCAGAAAAGCAGTGTCATTTTATTATAATAAACTATAATGGAGAATGCATTCCGATGGCTTTGATCCCGGTGGCTCCTCCCCTTTCCGGGGGCTCTTCACTTCTTTTTGGCTTTGACCTCTTTTTTGGCTTCCTTGGCCAGCTCTCCGATCAGCCGCCAGTACTCGTTAAACTTCAGCTCCTGGTCCTGGTTGATGTCCAGCTCCTTCATCTTGTCCTCCAGGGAGACGCCCTGAGGAAGGGAGAGAGGGGGTTAGTGAACGCAGGCGAACGGCCTGGTCATGTGACACCCAGAGCCACTGGGTGGCTAATAATAGAGTGTGAATGTGGTGGGACATTAGAGTGTAAGCTCCTCTGTACAGAGACTGATGTGACTGTGGGGGGGGGACATTAGAGTGTAAGCTCCTCTGTACAGAGACTGATGTGACTGGCTCAGTGTTCTCTGTACAGCGCTGCGGTATATATCAGAGCTATATACATGTATAATAATAGTGTGTGACTGTGGGGGGGACATTAGAGTGTAAGCTCCTCTGTACAGAGACTGATGTGACTGGCTCAGTGTTCTCTGTACAGCACCGTGGTATATATCAGAGCTATATACATGTATAATAATAGTGTGTGACTGTGGGGGAGGGGACATTAGAGTGTAAGCTCCTCTGTACAGAGACTGATGTGACTGTAGGGGGGACATTAGAGTGTAAGCTCCTCTGTACAGAGACTGATGTGGCTGGCTCAGTGTTCTCTGTACAGCACTGTGGTATATGTCAGAGCTATATACATGTATAATAATAGTGTGTGACAGAGATACCCGACTGCATGGCTGCTATTAGAATTACACCACACACACAAACTACAACTCCCAGCATGCCCTATCAGCCAGAGGTCGCCATCCTTCATCAGCCTGAGGGGCCCCCGGCGACAGTCGTCTACTGTTTCCTCCCCCGAGTCTATCAAATCGGCTTATTGATTCGAGCCGGTGACCTGACATGAAGCAGGCTTTCACAGAGACGTGGCAGGAAGCCACAGGGAACAAGCCAGCTCTCACATGCCAGGACAAAGCTCACCTGTCCTCCCCCCCCCGAAATAAAACGAGGATATTGTTTCCCGATGTATAAACACGTCGGAGGGCGTATAGAATGACCTAAACTTCAACACTTCATCAAATCCAGCTAAGGCACCATTCATAGAGGGGCGTCTGAGTGGTTTTGTGGAATTCCTGGTTCTGAGGGGGGAAGGTATTGCCCAGCGCACATCCACCTTCCTCTCACTAAGACCACTGAGGTAAAAAGGCAGCCCTATGAAAACTGAACTCTAACCAAAAAGTTTTAGGTTGAATAGAGGGAGAAAGGGTTAAATCCTGTGAGGTTTGTCCCCTTTTATGCTTAAACACTCCTGTTGTCACCAGAACAGGAAGTCAGGGGAAGTCTTCCCATGGTTCCATACTGCTAAGAAATGCTGTTTATTGAGTTATCATTTTGCTGCCCTGCCTTGGAAAATGAACTCTAAAAGTAGGACATGCCACTGATATACAGTACATGCAACTGGGTCATAATGGTGCACTGGGCTGAGTAAGGGGGTTCGTTATAATGGTGCACTGGGCTGAGTAAGGGGGTTCGTTATAATGGTGCACTGGGCTGAGTAAGGGGGTTCGTTATAATGGTGCACTCGGCTGAGTAGGAGGGTTCTTTATAATGGGTGCACTGGGCTGCGGGCACCTTTTATAATGGTGCACACAGCTGGGTGGGGGGCTTGATTACAGTGCAGTGCCTTAACAACTGGGTCATAATGGTGCACTGGGCTGAGTAAGGGGGTTCGTTATAATGGTGCACTGGGCTGAGTAAGGGGGTTCGTTATAATGGTGCACTGGGCTGAGTAAGGGTGTTCGTTATAATGGTGCACTGGGCTGAGTAAGGGGGTTCGTTATAATGGTGCACTCGGCTGAGTAGGAGGGTTCTTTATAATGGGTGCACTGGGCTGCGGGCACCTTTTATAATGGTGCACACAGCTGGGTGGGGGGCTTGATTACAGTGCAGTGCCTTAAAAAGAG